TAGGGAAAAGGGAAATATTTGGTACAGAGGAACAGCCTAAGAGCAGGCACGGAAGCATAGACACACTGAACACTGGAGAAACACTAAGTCCGCTGGAGGATTAGATACACTGGGGGAAGGACAGCAAGAGGTGAGGCTACAACAGTTGGGTCATTTATCCACTCATCCAAAAACCCAGTATCTGGCTGCTGTGTAACACCCGCATGCCAGGTACTGAGGACAAAAGATGAATAAAATATGACCCCCTGACATTATGGAGTTCATGGTATGGGAAGAAAAATGTGTAAATACATCAATTATAATTCAACGTAACAAGGGCAAGCTTGAAAGTCAAGTGTCTGGACTTATCCTTTATCCTTTGGAGGGGAGGGATGAACAGGAAGAGAGGCTGAAGGGAGGGCAGAGGGGAGCAACGTGAGTGGTTTTTAAATTCCAGAGCAGCAACTCCCCTGTGTCTTCTTGTTCTAACTTCTTCTTTCAGCTTCTCTTATTTCCTGAATTCTTCCTTTTTCCGCTAGGATGCTAGTCCCAGTTTTATCAGTGATGAATTGGACATGTCACGAACATTTGGATACTGCATTTTCTCAGCTGTGTCTGCTCAGGCCCCATCAAGCACAATCATTATCAATGCCTTCGATCCTTAGTTCCTTCTATTGAGGTCTTCCTTCAGCTAGACTCGATTCATAGTCTCCAAACTCAGTTCTGGGCTTAGGTGCCTCATGGCCTCAATGACAGGCTCCGTCACTGGTGGTAATTGCCACCCGACTGGCCAGCTGCCTAGAATGCTGCTTTGTTCTCATCTCTCTTCTGAATACCTTTGCCAACTTGTCTTGGTAAGAAGTGAAGATGCCTACCCTGGTTGTGGGCAAGGTCGCTGAGCTTGCTGCCTGCGGCCTAGACGCTGCTGCTTGTGAGGCAGCTCTTGCTTTTCTCTCCCTCCTATCATTCCAACTCAGTCAAATCTAGATGATGGATTGGGTAATTAATCACATAAGGGTCTGTGACATCTTACCTCTTTTCCATCTGAAAGTCTTATTTGAACTTATCATTATCTAACTTTGCTTGTTTTCCCAACTAGACTGTAAGGTCCCAAGATGCATTCCTTATCATCTGTGTCCCACCAACCCACCCTGTCCAGCCCCACCACCCCTTCCAGCTCCCACCCCCACCACCTTGTGCTATGTGGGCACTTTACAATGAGTCTAAAGGCACTTTTTGTTTTGAGAGCAAAAACTGTGGCAATGACTGACTAATCAGCACAGACTGGTGACTATGATCGGCTCAGGGTCAATTTGGCAACCTCTTAACTGTCAGCTCCTTACAGGACGGTACCTTTGAATGCATGGCACATGGAAGATTCAGTAAATGGCCAATGAAGAAAGGAATAAAAGATAAAGGGATACTTCAGCATACTTGGTGTTAAATTCATCTAAGTACCTTTACATCTTGTGCAATGCTCTTCCTCTCCAGAAGAATTTCAGTGAAGGATCGATGTGCTAGGAGACGCTTCATGGTGGTTTGCACAAGGAATTGGACCGCTTTGGACACATGAGCAAGACTGCTTAGGAGAAGAGAGGCATTTTCCATTCGGTAGTAGCAGATGGCATCTATCTCCATTACAAACATGTCTTTGGTTACAACCTAGGCAGAAAAAAAATTTGGATGACAACCCTGATTCTTGGGTTCCTTACCCACATGAGGTCAGAGGAGCTAAATACGTTCAAAGGGTATTTTCTCAGCGTAAGATGATGGTAAGAAGAAAGAGTAGTTGGCTCGCCCTTTAATCAAAATAGACGTGTTTTTTTTAAATTATGGAGTTTGTATTAAATACACTAAAGAACTCACAATTTAAAGGAATCTTGTTGTAAATCCTTTTGTAAAAAAAAAAAATCAGGAATGATTTTCTAACATGAAAACATTCAGTTGATTGTATATCAGGTCTTTTAAAACTGATGCCAAAATAATCTCCTAAAAGAGCAACATGTTCTGGGAAACAAGCGCCCAAATGTATTGAGTGTGCATTTAGAGGGCAGTTTGGTGATACATATCAAAAGCCCTAAAAGATGTATGTGCACAACATTTCCATTTTTGGACATTAATCACAAGGATATATTTCAAGGGCTTAGCTGCAAGGATATGATTCATAGTATTGCTTATTGTAATAAAAAAAGTAGAAATAATATCAACAATAGGGAATTAGTTGAGTGAATTCCAATTACTCAATTAGTTGAGTAAAATCCATACAATGAAATGCTGTGTGTCTGTTTAAAACAAAGAGGTAGAAACATAGGTAATATATGAAAAGGTGGTAACAATAGATTGTTGAGTGAAAAAAAAATGTTGCAAAATAGTTTGTATGGTGTGGTATATATATATATATATATATATATATATATATATACACAAAAACACACACACACATATATATGTTGCCTATATATATATATATATATATATATATATATATATATACAAGCAAACGCACACACATATATATGTCTGAAACTACAGCCACATATATAGAAAAGTCTGAAAGGATACATTCTAAAATATCAACTCTATGGGTGATAGGATTAGGTATAAGTTTTACTTCTTTTTATATTTTATTATATAAAATAAGCCTTTTAAAAGTATATTATTTTTATTCACATTTCCATTTACCAAAAGAAAGAATGAGAAAGAACGTCAGACTGAAAGTGGGAGACAGTTTAGGAAAGGCTTATAAATCTGAATCAGTAACAGGAAAGTCTAGATGTTATCTCTACATTTAACTTTTAATTGTGGTAAAATACACAAAACATCAAATTCACCATCTTAACCATTTTTAAGTGCACAATTCAGTAGTGTTAAGTACATTCACATTGTTGGGCAACCAGTGTCCAGAACTCTTTACAACTTGCAAAACTGAAAACTGGTGAACAATTCCCCATTCTCTCCTCCCGGCAGTCCCCACAACCATCATTCGCTTTCTGTTGCTCTGCATTTCACTACTCTATGTTCCTCATATAAATGGAATCATACAGTATTTGTCTTTTTGTGACTGGCTTATTTCACTTGGCATACTTTTCTCAAGGTTCAGCCATGTTGTAGTATATGCCGGAATTTCTTTCCTTTTTAAGGCTGATTATTATTCCATTGTCGGCATATACATTTTGTTTATCTATTCAGCCATCAATGGGCATGTGGATTGCTTCCACCTTTTGGCCATTGTGAAAAAAAATGATGCTATGAACATAGGTATACAAACGTCTCTTCAGTACCCTGCTTTCAATTATTTGGCATTTATACCCAAAAGTAGAACTGGTGGATTATATGGTAATTCTATTTTTAATTTTTTGAGGAACTGTCATACTGTTTTCTACAGTAGCTGCACCATTTTACCTTCCCACCTACAGTATACAAGGGTTCCAATTTCTCTACATCTTTGCCAACACTTATTATTTTCTGTTTTTTTCTTAATAAGAGACAGCCTGATAGATGTGAATTGGTATCTCATTGTGTTTTTCATTTGCATTTCTCTGATGATTAGTGATGTGGAGCATCTTTTAATGTGTTTTTTTGGCCATTTGTATATCTGCTTTGGAGAAATGTCTATTCAAGTTTGTACTGAAATGTCTATTCAAGTCAAGTATATATACTGTCTACCATATATGGAGGACAATCTGCTTTACTCAAAGTCATCTGATTTAAATATTAATCTTATCTAAAAAAATGCCTTAACAGCAACATCTAGATGTATTTGACCAAATATTTGGGTACCATGGCTTAGCCAGGTTGACACATAAAATTAACCATCACAAAGGCCTTTGTCCATTTTTAATTGGATTGTTTGCCTTCTTGTTGTTGAGTTATAAGATTTTATATATTCTGGATATTAACGTCTTATCAGATATAGTATTTGCAGTTTTTTTCCCATTCTGTAAGTTGCCTTTTCATTCTGTTGATTGTGTCCTTTGTTGTAAAGGAGTTTTAAATTTTGATGTAGCCCATATCACTTTTTCTTTTCTACTTTTGAGCAAAAATAGTCATTTTCCTCTGGGCCAGAAGTGGTAGCTCGGCCAGGAAAAATGTAGAAAGAAAGCAAAATCCACCACTTGGCTTACCTCATGAAAGGGTATCTCCAAGGTTTGGAGGCGAAGGTCAACCTTGTGGTAGGTATCCAGGCAGGGCAAAAAGAAGAAAAGGCCTAGAAGAGGGGGCAGGGGAAGTGACAGGTGAATGGCTAGCATGGAGGCCATTTGGGGTTCACTCTTTTGGCTTCAAGTTGCATGTTGCATTGCTTTTCTTAGCCTCCAACTGCCCATAGACCTCTCCATATCCCACCTCCACCTGAGGTGTGTTTGTTATTACTAAGGCTACCAAATAATCTGTTGTTCAAGCTGGGGCACTTTTGAGGGTGAAAAGAGAGCACTATTATGACTTACACCAGGACAACAGGCATAAACAGGGATTATCCCCAGCAAAATGGGCTATATGGTCACCTTGGTCATGGTGCTGACCTGTCCAGATATTGGGTTACACATCTGTCTCCTTCACTAGATTTAAACTCTATAACAAGAGCATCTTATGCATTCCTGTTAGCCTTAGTGCCTAACTTAGTGCCTTTTAGGTGCTCCATAAAACTATTTCTTGAATCCACGTGTGTAAGAACTTTAGAGCCAGCAACCTCCATGTGGTATTTCTTAAAATGTGAGCCCCAAAGGAATCAGAATAGCAGCATCATGATACCAGCCTTCTGGTTGGCTAGTTAGTCCTCACCCACCCAATATAATGTATAGGGTCAATGTGCAATCAATATTTTAGATTGATTTATCGAGATTTTCTGAGAGACCATTGGACACTGTAGGCTTGTACAAGAGCCAAAGCTTTGTTGGAATCAGCAGTACCTCAAGCACCCATGATCTCTCTGAGGAGCCATCCAGCTACTAGCCCTTCTCAGACCCAATCGAGAAGGATACCAAAAACTAGAACCAGAACAAGGCAGTCCCTGTTCTGGAACTACAGGGTCTGGTTCTATTTTTGTGTGAACGAATCTGTTGGTTCTGAATCTTCAAACTGATTTGTGTCTCCTAGTCTGGTCTCTATTCTCTATCTGTTCCTGTAGAGCTGGCTTGGAATTTGGACCCTTTCCAATCTGTGCACAGTGGGACTTTGCTTCTTCTCATGTCTTCCTGGCTTAGCTCTTCAAACCCCAACTATTAGACTTTTCAGACTAACGATACTTCTATCTGTGCCCCATAATCAGCTTGGACTTCTGGATACAAACTCTGTAAGACTTTAAGGTCCTAGAGACTAGAGACCATGTCTAATTCATCCATCTTCATATCCTTTGTAGTTAAACAATGAAACACGGGAAGTGCTTAATCTATGTTTCTTAAATTTCCACGAACTGAAGGCCAGTTTGTTACTTGGATGCTGAACTTTGCCTATCTAGCCTGGTGTGTTCTGATTCCCTGGATCCTGAACTAGCTCAGTTTTGCTCTGAGAATTCACAGGACTCAGACCACTTACATGTTCTACTCAAACCAGTGCCTGGTCTTAGGTCCTAGCCTACTTGCTACTCCAGCCAGCCTGGCCCTGGCATTCAGCTTTTTGCATCCACTCTCTCTTTTGGTCACTGTGACCTGGTAGTAATGCTCTCTGAAGAATTTCTTAATAACCTGTGTTACAAGTAACAGATTGAAAAATGAAGATATCCTGAATCAAGTTACTTCATGTAATCTGAGGGCTGTATTACAAATATGCATGGATTGAAGAAATTGGCAAGTCTCTGGGGGGGTAAAAAAGGTCATTCTTACCAGGGCCTTTGGCTCTTCCAGGAAGCAGATGTCCCAGTCGGAATATAATTACTCTCTCATACTCCTGTATAACCTAAAGGAAAAATTTAATACTTTTGAATCACTCCAAGAGATTAAAATGAAGTCTTCAGAAGACCCTGGTGTGAGAGTGATCCTAGGTATCAGAAATCTTTTACTTTGAGAACCAAGAAAAAATTTCTGTTAATACTTACATTTCTAAAATATATACTTAGTAAGTGAAGAATTTCAGAAACCAATGAAAAAGTATAAAATTTTTGAGACTGTGGACAGAATTTTGATTAGAGAGTCATGGTTATCTAAAAAATAATTGGTTCCACCAAATCAAAGTAGTCACAGCATATTTAATCTTGTATATTGCTGTGATTGATGCATTATGAGCTTTTACATGTATCACTCATTAGCTATTTACAGACCTTACGGCAGCCATGCAGGTGCTCAGATCACCCTTCAGGAAGAGCCTGTAGCCAACTATATGTTGTCTGTAGGAGATACACTTTCTATTTAAATATACAAATAGGTTGAAAGTAAAAAGATAGAAAAAAATATACCACACAAAGAGTAACCAAAAGAGAGTAGGAGTGACTATACCAACATCAGACAAAATGAAGTTTAAAACAAACAGGCAAAAATGTTACTAGTGATAAAGAGGGACATTGCGTAACGATAAAATGGCCAATGTGTTAGGAAAGTATAACAATGGTAAACATATATGTACCTAAAAATAGAGTTCCAACATATATAAAACAAAAACCAACAGAACTGAAGGTAGATATAGACAATTCAATAATAAAATTTGGAGACTTTACTATCCCACTTTCAATCATGGACAAAACAACTAGACAGAAGGTCAACAAGGAAAGAAAAGACTTGAACAACACTATAAACAAACTAAACTTAACAGATAGCTATGCATAACTCCACCCAACAATAGCAGAATACATATTCTTTCAAGCACACATGAAACATCTCCAGGATAGACCATATGCTGGGTCATAAAAAAAAACTCAATAAATTTTAAAGGATTGAAACCACACTAAGTATATTCTCTGATTACAATGGAATGAAATTAGAAATTGATAACAAGGAAATTTGGGAAATTCACATATATATGGAAATTAAACCACACACTCTAAAATAACTGATAGGTCAAAGAAGATATCACAAAAGAAATGAAAAACCACTTTGAGGGACTTCACTGGTGGCGCAGTGGTCAAGAATCCACCTGCCAATGCTAGGGGACATGGGTTCGAGCCTGGTCCAGGAAGATCCCACATGCCGTGAAGCAACTAAGCCTGTGTGCCACGACTACTGAGCCTGCACCCTAGAGCCTGCGAGCCACAACTATTGAAGCCTGCGAGCCACAACTATTGAAGCCTGCGTGTCGAGAGCCTATGCTGCACAACAAGAGAAGCCACCACAATGAGAAGCCTGCGCACTGCAACAAAGAGTAGCCCCTGCTCGCTGCAACTACAGAAAGCCCGCACGCAGCAACAAAGACCCAATGAAGCCAAAAATAAATAAAATAAAAAGTAAGTAAATTTTTTAAATGCTGTAAATTCAGAATACAATGATAAATAAAGTTTATTAAAAAAAAACACTTTGAGATTAATGAAAACAAAACCTCAAGGTACCAAAACATATGGGATGCAACTAAAGTAGTGCTTAAAGGAAAATTTATAGCTGTAAATGCCTATAACAAAAGAGAAGAAATATCTCAAAATAATACCCTAATTTTCTACCTTAATATACTGGAAATAGAAGCACAAAGTAAACCCAAAGTAAGCAGGAAGAAGAAAATAAAGATTAGAGTGGAAATAAATGCAATAGAAAATAGAAAAGCATCAGAGAAAATCAACTGACCCAAAAGTGGGTTCTTTGACAAGATCAACAAAATTGACAAATACTTAGCGAGACTGACCAAGAGAAAAGAGAGGAGATTCAAATTGCTGAAATCAGGAGTCAAAGAGGAATGACAGAGATATCACTACTGTCCTTACAGAAATAAAAAAGATTATAAAAGAAAATATTATGAACAACTATATACCAACAAATTAGATAACAGGTGAAATGGACAAATTCCTACAGAGTCATAAACTATCAAAACTGACTCGAGAAGAAAAAGAAAAATGAAAAAGACCCAGAATTAAAAGACTGAATTAGTAGTTTAAAAATTTCCCACAAAGAGAAGTCCAGGACCAGATGGCTTCACTGGTAAATTCTGCCAAATATTTAAAGAGGAATAAATACCAGTTCTTCACAAATTCTCCCAAATAATAGAAGAGGAGGGAAATCTTTCCAACTCATTCTCTGAGGCCAGTATTACCCTGATACCAAAACAAGACAGTGATATCACAAGACAAGAAAACTACAGACCAGTATCTCTCATGAATATAAATGCAAAAATCCTCAACGAACAACCAGCAACTTGACTCCAGTAACATATAAAAAGGATTATACATCATAACCAAGTGGGACTTATTCTAGGAATGCACAGTTGATTTAACATCCGAAATTCAATGAATGTAATACACCATATTAACAGAATAAAGGGCAAATACCATGTAATCATCTCAATGGGGGAAGAAAAGGCATTTGACAAAATCCAACACCCTTTCACAAAGACGAAGGAGAAGAAAAAGAGGAAGGAGAGCTTGTGTGAGGAGTGAAATCGGCCACAGCCCCAGCAGCATCTGTAGCGTTCCAGCCAAGGACATGCTCTTCCCTGACAGCTCCGGCCAATGACTAAGAATGGCAGGGATACAAGGGCTTGGCCATTTCTGCCCATTGTGAGACTCATCTATGAGGCAAACTTTGCTCTGGCGTTCCCTTTCAGTCTGGCCAAGACGTTCTTGGAGGTATCCCACAGTCTGAGGCACTCTCTGTCCAATCCTTCCTTCCCCTTCTCATATCACAGGTGTCAGATCTGCATCATCCTCTGAAGGTTTTCCCTGTCTACTCTTATTCTCTCTCCCCTTAAATCTTTCACAGACAATGCCACCCCATAAATCTCTTGCACTTCTAATTCCATCTTGGTATGTGCTTCCCAAACTGACACGCGTCTTCATTTACTTCAGAGACAGCCATGTGTAACCACCTGTGGGCCCAAGATAATTAGCATCTATGGTCTCTAGAAGCTGCCTGAGAAGTTTCCTGGAGGTGTCAGGAGTAGGCATCATGACCTCTTCTGGGCTGGTCTTTGTGTTTTAGAGTGTAGATGAGCTAGACATAGCTCCTGTCCTGAAGGGGCTCTCAGTCTAATGGCAGAGATTGTGTATCCACAAATATTATACATGTGGTAATTGCTAGAATTGATGTGAAAGTAGGATGACACGAGAGCACAAGGAAGGGAATGACAGTCTGGAGGAGTCAAGGAAGGCTTCACAGTTATCTCTGAGCGGGTATGAAGAGTAAGAGCTCTCCTGGAAGGTGAGTGGGAGTGAGGGCATTCCATGCAGAGCAGACAGCACGTACCAAAACACAGAAATGAGAGTGGACATGGTGTGGTCAGTGAGAGGCACCAGGAAATTACTTATTGGGTCCTCATGGAATCTCACCTTTATGCAGAACCAGATAGAAAAAGGGAAGGTCACAATGACGAAGAGCAGGGATGTGAGGACAAGAAGCCACTCACAAGCTCCTAAACTGGAAGACTTGGTACCTTAAAAAAAAAAAAGCAAAAGAATAATTATATTGGAACTTCACCATATTCACTGACTAGCACCTCTAGTCCAGTCCTTGGTATTAGGGTCAGAGCAGTTTGCCGATTTTGCTGGAAATAATGGAACGAGCTGGATATCAGCGTGGTCAGTTCCCAGAGCCGGGGGCACGGTCTGTGTGAAGGGCTTTGTGGGCAGATGGAAGGTGGAGCAGGCTCCTGGAAAGGCAGTGGAGGGTACACTGGAACAAGCACAGAATCTGGGCAGCAGGTCTGGGCTCTGGTTCTGGCTCCACCATTTTCTGTCCAAATGACCTTAAGCAAGGTACACAACCTCTCAGTTTCCTCATCTATTCAAGGAAATGCTATTGCATAACTGTTTCATAACTATCTCATGGAATAGCTCATATCTCTGGCATAAGAATGAAATGACATATAAACGTAAAAGCACTGAACTGTGTTTTTTTACATGTCTGGCGTTGTCATTTAAAACTCATGTTTACCTAGTGGTAACTGCTACAAAAGTACTTTTTCTATCTGAGCCCCTCTTAAATAGGTACCTTAAAAATACACGATCAATGAAATTGCTACAAAATAGATTTATGTTCCAAAGGCTCTTAGCATTACAAAGGTTCCATTTAAGTCTTTATTTTTCAGTGTGAAAAGCAGATTGCTGTCAAGTTTGTTAGACACGATTGGCTTTACTCTTGAGCTACCCATTTCCAACTAGAGGACAGAAGCTGTACTCCTTTCATATGCACGTGCCAAAAAGGCATACACACACACACACACACACACACACACACACACAGCCATACTTAGATGATATTTCCTTAGTATCCTCTAGAAGTATAATTTTGAGAAAAAACAGGACCCTTTGTCCCTCTCTGCATAGTTTCTTCTATTTGAAGTGGTTCAAACCACATGTGTCCAGAGGTTCATCTTCCCTGAAATTACAGCTCCATCTACCACTTGCCCCAATATCTGAAATTCCTCCATGAGAGCCCCTTCTTTGGCTTCAGGTGTGGATCTTTAGACAGTCTTTGAAAATCACCTATATGGGGTAATATTAGCCCATTTGTGCCTATAAAAAAGCGATATGGAACTGGAGTTCAGGCCATCCAGGTTGCTTGGGTGATAAATGAAATGGTATCAGGGAAAATTCAGTCTCAAGGACGTGAGCTTCTTGGGGTCTTGTCTTGTTTAAACCGTGTCCCAGGACTGGAATAGTGCCTGACACATACAGGTGCTCAAGAAATACCTGTTGAATGTAGGAAGGAAGGAGAAGTGGATACTGAAAATGATTTAAATGTAATGGTTATAGAAATCTCAAGAATTTTAATCCACAGGTACTAGAAAACTGGCCAAAGGGATACTATTTATCAGTTTAAAAATCTTACAGAGGAATAGAAGGTGACTAAAGATTAGAAATGGTGAAAAGTCTATTTTTAAGGGATGGGAAGGAAACGGATAACTAATTAGTAGGCCTGAAAATTTGATTTCCGTGCTCGCAAAATAACTGGAAAGGTCATCACCAAATTGATGTGCAGATTACTCGAAGAGGGCAGATATACAAGCTGCACCAGCACAAAACCAAATTCGGTGCTAAATGCCAATGTATGGCAGCTCCTAAATGGTGTGCCACGGAACACTAATCCTCAAGGGTGCTCCACAAAGCAAGTGTTCCTGGAGCAAACAAGTTTAGGAAATATTGTGTACTGTATCCCAGTCCTGGAGCTTCCCAATAGTCACTGGCATATTGAAGCTAGGAGAATCCCTGCAGCAAAGAAGCACTGTTAGCTTTGTTTAACCTAGTATTTCCCAAACATTTGACCAGACGATGTCTTCTCCAAGCAAATTCATGTCCTATGGAATTTATTTCTCATGCAACGTACTCTGGGAGATGCAGTTTTGGGAGAGGTGTTTCTATCAACATCGTATTAGTTTTTGCAACATTCTTCCCTAAGAGCAATAACAGTGTTACTGCCATGTTTATTAGCTTATAAATATATTTCATTTGCCAGTGGTAACCATGGTAAGTAAAAATAAATAAATGCACATACCAACAAAATTTATATTTTATAAGTGAAGAAAGTCCTCAAAATTCCTTCATACCAAAGTTAGGGATGTGAACAGAAAACTAATATGTATACCCAAATCTAACTTGAAGCTTTACTCACAAAATATTATTCTCTTAGAATGAGTTCCTTGAATATCCAATTTGTTTAGTGTAAGTGAATAGTGGAACACTACATGTTAAAGCAGGAAGCGCCTTGAGATACGACAGTCTGAGAATCCTCAACATTTCAGTAAAATGAAGCTTCTCTTAGTTTCTCCCAAATCTTAGGTAGCCTGGCTGTGGGAGTGTGGTACTAGTGAGGAGGAGAGGGGATGTTGATGTGTCTGTTTCCCTTTCCTCTGGGAGCCACAGAAACCTCCCAGACAAGGGCTCAGCAAGGGTGTCTCATCCTTAATGGGCTCATCCATCGCTTGGGGGGGGGCCTGAAGCTCTAGTCACTTTATAGCTGAACAGTCTGAGTGAGGCCCACAAGGTGAAGCTACTAGCTCAAGGCCACAGCTAGTTGGTGGCAGTGCTGGAACCATGACCAGAAATCAGGGGCAGCACCCTGCAAGGATGGGCTCTTCAATAAGACTGTTTTATTCTGGAATGCTGGCTTCTCCACTTCCCACCTGTAGGTCTTGGGCAAGTTATTTAATTTCTCAGCATTTTTTTTCATCTGTGACACGGGAATGATAATACTCAGTAAAACACCTAGCATGTGCCTGGCACACAGTAGGAGCTCCAAAAATGGGGCTCCCTTCCTTCCCTACCCCACCGATGTGGTCTGAAGCACAATACTTACAGACCTCTAACCTCAGCACTACTGTATCAGTGAATCCAATAACCCTCTAATGACCAGAAGTTTCTGACCCATGAAAGGGCATCAGTTAGGCAAAACAGCATTAACATGGTCAACATAAACTACATCCCAGTTGCTGGAATCTTTCTCAAGTCATAGCTTTCAGTGCTACAGCATATAGGGCAGTGCTGGTAGCCAGGAAATGTTAAAATTTCATAGTCAGCAGAAAGTAGTATAACACACTATTCCTTATTTACCTTCCTTTAAACCTCCCTCACCCTGAAATTAAGGTGTAATGAGTTTTTTCTTCCACTCATTATAGAAAGGATTGGAAGCAGATAAATTTGTTCCTAAGAGTTGCTTCACCTGCAGAAGCCAAAGAGACACCTTTCCCTGTGATTCCCTCCCTTTGGTCTAACTTGCCTCTTTTAGCTTGCAAGGATGTTTTTTTTTTCTTTCCCTCCAGGCTTTGCGCAAGATAAGTGCTTTAAGTGTCTTATCTCATTTTATCCTCACAATTACCCTCTGAGGTGGGTACTATTGCTGTCCCCATTTGATACAGGGCTAAGTCCCTGACTATGATCAAATAGTTAGCTAAGATTCAAACTGAGATCTAGCTTTATCTCTACTTGGCTCTGCTGCCTCTACTTTTTAGGAAGTATGATCACTGCAAAGTGTAAAATACTTTTAGGAAAGTCTGATGAGGAGAGGAGAATAAGCTACATAGTTGCCCTGAACCATGTTGATTGGTCCCCAACCTGGATCACACTCCCTCCCACTTCCCATCCACGGCTGACCCCTGAGAACAGCGGTATTTAGCTGATGTTATTTGTATTTCTTCTGATGCATTTTGGTCTCCACCACTGAGGGGTCGGTGGGTCCTATCTCGCGTCTTTCATTTCCTGGGAAGCTGAGCAGGTCCAGCAGGCTGCTCTGGCCTCGGAAGCTCTCAGTGCGGTGCCTCATTGCACCTTAATTGACATCCCTTGGGTACCACTTGGAAAGGCCGCACCCCCTCCCGGGGCCTCAGCCTGACCGCTGTACCTTCCTCGGGCCGCTCGCTCTCCAGCAGCGCCACCACCTCGGTGCCCTCCTCGCCAGAGCCCCGGACCTCATCCACGTCCACCACGGTGGCTGCAGGCGCTCGGGGCTCACCGGGGCTCCCTGCCCGCCCGAGGGCCGGCTGCTCCGGCCCGGCGTCCCGGCGCCCGCGGCCTCTGCCGCCCCTCTCGGCCTTCGTCCTCTTGTTCTCTTTGTGGGCGGACCCGCTGCCTCTCCCGTGGGCCTCTCTGGAGGAGCTCCGAGCCCTTTTCTCCATCCTCAGAACGACCGAATCCAAGAGCGCAGTTCCTGCAAAGTCGATGGCAGGGATGCGGGGCGCGTCCCGGGGGGGACTATAATGACCTTGGGCGGGGGCGGGATCTGGGTGGTGGGCGGGCGGGGCTCTGCTCGGGGTGACACCCGGCAGCTGTTTCTCAGGGGAGCTGTGGACAGGGCGCGCCACCCCTGAGACTTGGTGCCACCTTCAACAGTGAGTTTTTGTGAAAACCCATGTGCCAGTTTATGGCGTTTTAAAATGTGTTTCTAGAGACGAAACTTTGAGCTGAAGTACCACGGAGGCCCGCAAACCGCTGAAGGTGTGATGGCATTTTGCTTTATGATTTGTAAATATCGTATAGAATGGGGTATGTGGTCCTCGCTTAAGACTAAAGAGCTTACCGGAAAGAAAAGGTCGTCCAATCAGGGTAACTTTAAGGTAAAATTAGAAACTTCTCCCCAAGCAACCCCGTCTTCCCCTTTAAGATCTTCCCAAGGTTACCTTTCCTCTTTCTCCTGATTTATTTTATATCCTGGCCCTACTCTTTCTGCTGAGATTTTCACTGGTAAAGGTGTTGACTGACTACTCCTGGGAACATTTACATTTTAAAAGGGGGAAGGAGAGGAAAATTCTCCCAGAACACTCTCTCTCTCTCTCTCTCTCTCTCCAGACCTCTCCTCTTCTCTCTCTCTTATGTGTATTTCTTTATTTTTACTAATTTATTATTATTTTTACTAATGCTTAAGCCTGTTGATGATGTTACTTCTTGAAGAATCAGAAGGGAAGAGATCTGATTTAACTTCTGTTTTAGGAAAGGAACAATTTTGTCCTTAGCTAGGCCCTGTTCCCATGCTTCTTTGATGAAGGCAGGAGTTTTGCTTTTTTAAGGTTCACTGGCCATGCTCCATCCAGCAGCAAACTGGGGTAGCCGCCCCACCTGCATCTGAGGAAATTGAAACATTGAATAGATCTATCTTTTTTATTCTCTATTAGTAATTTCTCACTGAATGCTAGGTTGGTCTAGACAACCATTCATAGTAGAGATTTATGACTCTACTCAGATAGCTCAGATCACATTATTGTATTGTTCACTTACTTTAAATTTTTCAGTATTTATTGAGTTCACATAGTGATAGCTTTTTCTCCTCTCAAAAAGTTTTATTAAAGAATGAGGACCTAAAGTAACTCAAATTGGCTCTGGAAAAACCATTCCATTACTTTCTTCCACTAGTGCTAGGCCACTGGGAATAAAGTAATTAAAAGATTAGTAATAAAGTAACTTAAATAGATTTGTTTTTTACTCTCTAAACCTGATTATTATTATAGGGAGAACAAATGTTTCCTCTCAAGGGCCTGACTCAATTAATAGTTCCTGCCCAGAACACTACACTGAAAAAAATTCTGAAGCTGCATTTGGCCCATAGGGGGAAAAGTATCATGATTATTTAGTATTCACTCAAAATTAATAGTTGATATTTAACATAATTAGTTATTTTTTATCATCCTGAAAAGATTTCTCTATTTGGAAAAGCATGAAACTGTAGCATTTATTGATTTTTTTTCTCAGCCTTTGATTCTGTTATGAATTAATTTGATCTAGAGTCCTAGCTATAAACTCTTAAACTAAAATTGTACCTCAATTTTTGATCCAAGAATTGGCAGAATAGTTGGCCAAATGACATTCTCAAAGCTGTACCCTGGGGCTTCCCTGGTGGCGCAGTGGTTGAGAGTCCACCTGCCGATGCAGGGGACACGGGTTCGTGCCCCAGTCCGGGAAGACCCCACATGCTGCGGAGCAGCTGGGCCCGGTGAGCCATGGCCGCTGAGCCTGCGCGTCCGGAGCCTGTGCTCTGCAACGGGAGAGGCCACAACAGTGAGAGGCCCGCGTACCGCAAAAAAAAAAAAAAAAGCTGTACCCTGTCTCCCAATAAGATAGAGGGATTTCTTGTAGGAAAAAAATTGGTGAGAAAAAGCCATACTTGGTGTTGGAGCCCATGTTGAGTACTTGTTCTCAGTCTCCTTTGCTGTTATATCATCACTACTTCATTTTCTATATCCATTTATAACAGTAACACAAGCACTTGCTTATAACACAAGTCTGTTTGGATTATGAATGACAATGACAATATCTGAGAAAATGTGTAACATTCCATGTTAAAAAAGTCAACACAGCATCTCGAAGGTGAAGGAGTTGGGGAGTGCTGATGCAGCAGCATGAGTCTGTAGCTGGCTGGCCTCATCTACTCTTAAAATGATGTTGTTGTTTTCTTTTAGATTCCTTTTTAATTGAAAGTGTTGGTCATCCCTTTGCTGAAAATATTAATGTACACATCTTTAAACTCTTAACGCTTTAGTCCTTGTTTGGGTTTGTTACGAGGCTGACATCTGTGGGAACGGAGTTACTAGGAGAGGGGGAGGACCAATTAAAGTTGCTGGCTATGAGTTTGTTTCTAAAACAAAGGTCATGAAAGATTTCAAGGCTTTCTAAATTAATATACTTTTTTCTTTTTTTTTGCGGTACGCGGGCCTCTCACTGCTGTGGCCTCTCCCGTTGCGGAGCATAGGCTCCGGACGTGCAGGCGCAGCGGCCATGGCTCATGGGCCCAGCCGCTCCGCGGCATGTGGGATCTTCCCGGCCCGGGGCACGAACCCGTGTCGCCTGCATTGGCAGGCGGACTCTCAACCACTGTACCACCAGGGAAGCCCCCTAAATTAATATACTTATTCTCATTTAGTGGTTTGAAACTTTATATCCATAATGAAGAGTGAATATTGATTTATATGACTTATGTAATGGAAAAACAAATTCATTATCACTAGATGAAATTGCAAATCTTATCATTTTAAAGCTGGAAGAAATTACAGGGAGTTATATTTGACTTTCTCAATTTGTAGATGGCAGAGAAAACAACCAGGAGGGCACAGCAGTGGTCTAGGAAAGTGATGCTGATGAGAGCTGACTTTGGCAATGGGAATGGGTTAGATTCAGGAAATATTTGAGGTAGAATATCAGCAGAATTTGGTGACCACATGGGGTTATGAAGGGGCGGGGGAGGATGGTGAGGGGATAGAAGACTTAAGAGATTTTGACCTTTAGAGGTTGAGCAGTTGGTCATAACTGCAGGCATCTCTGTCAGACCCACTTCCCCTAATTATACTACTCTCAAGCGTTTTATGTTCTGGCCTTCTTTGCCTGGAGATGCAGTTGTCCACTTGTTAGGTGCAGATAAAACTGACTTGACTCCTCTCTCATTAATTCATTCCACAGATACATAGTGAGCACTTACTATACATTTAGCACTGCTCACCTCTGAGGATGTAAAGGTAAGACATGCCCTTGAGGAACTTAGAGTCTAACAGGAAGAAACAGATATGTAAACACATATATGTGATAAAGTGTATGTTATGACAGAAGGACCTACAGCAGGGTCTCTCCACTTCAGCACTGTTGACATTTGGGACCAGATAATTCTTTGTTGTAGGGGGCTTTCCTATGTATTGTAAGATCTTTAGCAGCATCCCTGGCCTCTACCAACTACTAGATGCCAGTAGCACCTCCCCAACAGCTGCAGTGACCAAAAGTGTCTCCAGACATTGCCAGGTGTCCCATGGGGGCAAAACTGCTCGGGGCTGAGAACCACAGATCTGCATGTTACCACGAGGACACAGAGGAGGGGGTAAGTAACTCTACCTCGGTGGAGTCAGAGGAGACCCAGTTTGAGCCATATTAAGAGGTTGCCAGGTGATCCTCAGATGGGCTTCAAGAACTAGGCCTTCCGTCAGATCAGACACCTACATGAAATTCCTAATCAAGGCTTTTTGATAAGCTTTCAATATTTTTGTTACCGTGGATGAGAAACGTGTTCACAGTTTTTTTTTTTTTTTGTGGTACGCGGGCCTCCCACTGTTGTGGCCTCTCCCGTTGCGGAGCACAGGCTCCGGACGCGCAGGCTCAGCGGCCATGGCTCACGGGCCCAGCCGCTCCGCGGCATGTGGGATCTTCGCGGACCGGGGCACGAACCCGTGTCCCCCGCATCGGCAGGAGGACTCTCAACCACTGCGCCACCAGGGAAGCCCCACAGTTTTGTTTTAAATTTATTTATTTAGTCACTGATTTTCAAGCTTTATCACAGTAAGAATTGTACATATTTAAGGTGTATATATATACTGTGAAATGATTAAAAACTTTTAAAAACTATTTTTACAACACAATTTACACCAGTGGAACAAATAATTGAATATCTTTTCTTTCATCAACAAATGTAATTTTGATATTTCCTTTGATGGTACAAGTGGATTTCAAATCCAGTCAAACTTTTTCCTAACGAGTACTTCAAAATAATGATGAAACTTCAGGTACAGAAGAGGCTGTAGGCGCCGGAAGCGCGCCGCACAGGAACCCCGCTCCCTGCCCCGCCCTCCCTGGGCCTCGCCTTCAGCTGCGCAGCCTCCGTGCGCACCCAGACGGGAACTTCCCCCGAGGATTCGCAGGGGCGGTCCCGGAGGCAGAAGTCGATACCTGGCAGCGCCCAGCTTCCCGCAGCAAATTCAGTGAGTATCAAATGGCTCGCTGGAGGCCCGTGGGCATGCCAGCTGACCCCAGTTGGTTGCCTTCTGAAAAGTGTGGGTGGAGGTAACTTTTGGCTGGAGAGTCCCCAGCACCTCCTTTTCCCCGAACCCTCAAGCTACCCTTATGGGCTGAGAGAAATAGTCTATTAGACCGCACCTGTAACCTATTCATGGTAGATGAAGCAGGAGGAGCTCCGATTCTCACGTTAGAGGGCATCAAAATCACCTACAGGGCTTATTAAAACATATTGCTGGGCTCCTTCTACCCGCTTCCTCCCAGGTTCTGGTTGGGCAAGTCTGGCATGGGGTATGATAATTGGTATTTCTAACTAGTTCCTAGGTTATTCTGTTGCGCTGGAACCACAAGTCGAGAAACACTCTCATAGAAGTTAAACAAAGTGTTTTCTAAATACTCCAGCCCCTTCTCACTC